TTGTTGTGTCGGGTTTCACCTAAGCCTTCATCGACGTCGTCTTTATTCTGTTAGTAATATCCTGATAATCTGCTTTGAAATAACTATTGCGTTAGTTTGTGTTTGAAAGATTCTGTATTTTTTTTCACATTCCCTGATCTTTTTAGCAAATCTCAAAAAAATATTGATTGCAAATGGTGTCTGAATTTCAATAATGTTTTTTAATAATATTTGTAAACATCTAAAAATTAGTGTTATATTTGCTAAGTAATGAAAAACTATTTCAATTTCAAGCACGATATCTGTTAAGTCAATTGGGTACTCTTATACTTGTATTTAATTATTGCATTCAATTTGTTGTTTGCTTTTGCTATTGTTAATAATATTTTTTAAGAATAAATCAGTGGTACGTGAACCTCTCAACCAAAAGGTGCATTTGAATTTTATTCTCTTTACATAAAAATAAATTAAATAGTTTTCGAACAATATCAATAAATATATTTAAACCGAAAATTAACTTTTAAATAAGGCTTGTGTTAAAGTAAGTAAGAAGTAATAAAAATTACTATTAAATTTAATATTAAGTTCAATTAAAAAAAATATTTCGCTATAAATTTTAAAAGCAAAACGCATTTTTTTTATTTTAGTGATGCCTTTCAGTTTCTCTTGGGTTACTTGTCAGGCAGTCTGACATCCTTTGAGTTCTGATTGCGCCTCTATGTCCGCCTATGCCCTTCAACCGCAATCTCACTTAGTGTTCTGGCAGTCTTTTATTTTTGTTTCAAACGTTGTGGCAACTTGAAAGACAGAACCAAGTCAATTGCTGTTGAAGTAGCTTCCTTCCGCAACGCTACGTTACGAAGGCAGCGCAGAATTGTCACTAAAACTGTTCCAGTTTCAACTGTCGAGATAACTTTCAGTGTTCCTCGACTTTGTTTTCGTTTACTTGATTTTAATTTAAATAAAAGATAGAAGTTTCTTTGTTAAATATTTGAATTTAAATATAGTTTTAAACGTTTTAATATTTCTGAAGGATGTTAGGTATACAGTGCATTGAGTTTGGAAATGTACCCTTAATGTTAAGAAAATGTATAGTTATATTGTTCACAAAAATTAAGTTCCAAACTGGAATACCTTTTAATTATTTTTATTTACGATAATTTATTTCGTCTAAAACATTAACTTTTATAAGAATTTAATTCAAATGTTTGAGCTCTCCATGATCTAAAAATGAAGTCTATGGTTCTCATTCTCGATTAAAGCGTTTTTTACTTTTTTACTATATTAAAAGTTAATTAATATATAATAAATTCAATTCTTAGTTAAGTTTGATATTGAGTTTAAATAATAAGTTGATGGTATGGTTGCTGCTTAACGTAGTAAATATGTAGGTGAACAAACCTGTAGTATACGAGTTCAGCACTGTAGGTAATATAAATAACTATAATATATAGGTGCTTTCAACGCACCTTTTTTACATGTTTTTAAAATATTATTCACAGTGTAACGTCCGTTTTCAAAAGCGATTGTGAATAGTTGCGATCAAAATCTTTGTCAACCACTGGGATTCATGAGGGCTTGATTGCGTTTGGAAGTGCAATATAGGCCGTGTGCGAGTTTAAGTAAATTGATGGCAAATCGAGGGAAATCGTAAATTATATCAGTATGGCAGGAAATGTTGGTATTTACCAGAATTTCGAGTAGGGTAAATTAGATAAAAATTAGGCAAATTAGGTGTTGCCATTGTAAAAATGTTATAAGATAAGATTAAAATAAATAAATATATAAATTTAAAAACTTTTAACCAAAAATAATAAATAAGTGCAATAAATAAAAAAAAAATATTTAGGAAATTTATTTTAACTTATTCTACCTCAATTTACTCGAACTCGCACACGACCATAATAATATTATAACCCTGTTAAATCTAACTCGCGATTTTATGCGAATAGGTTTGTTGACACCAGTTTTACATTCGAAACAAAACCTTTTTTTCGAAGTTATGTGTTCTATCAACAAAATCTATCAACAAAAATTTTTTGTTTAAAGATTGCTATTCTAAGATAATTAAAAATAATGTCTAATAAGCTTAAAATGTCTTAATATTAATATTATTAATATAGCGAAAAGTATGCTTTCCGTTAATATTTTTTTTTGGGTACGAAATTTGACATGTTTAAACGAAATAAAACATATGTTGTTTACGGTTTCACGAATAATCTCATTAATTTTTACAGTAAAATTGCAAAACTTCGTATCATGGTAAAAAAATGTTTGGTACAAAAGTCACGCCATCTCTTAAAAAATCTAAAGAACTAAATAATACAACTATTATTTGTTGTTGAAAAATTTGAATTAAATAAAAAGAACTTGGGGCTTAATATTCAGTATCCGCGTTTCAGTGTCCATTAGAGTTAAAACAATTCATTTCTGATGAATCAACGCATCGTCAAATTTTCAACCTATTATTGTAGTTCCTCTATTAACAGCTCTGTTAATATCTACAATCTTACGGTAGCTTAGCATGTCACGGGTTTTACATGTTTTATTACCACCTGGGGTCTACTAGTAGTCGCAGCCGCACGTCGAAATTTTAATGCATCTTCATTGTGTGATCATAAATATCTCCATGACAACAAATTAGCATAATATGTTATCATTACTACTATCTCATTACAAATACTTGTTTATAACTCTTCCAACACGACCCAAGTACAGTAAGTCATTGTAATAGTTCTTAAGAAAAAAATTTATAAAAGAAAAATATGATAGATAATCAAGAACTGCAGTGAATTAAGTAAAGTTTGTTGTATATGCAGCAAGATTTAGCACTCTTTGACTTTTAGCTCTCACACTTAAAAATATTCTTTTGGGGGAAAACGATTTTCTTCAAGTGACGAGGTAAAAGCTGCCATGGAGTTTAATCGGCAGACCTTCCTAGAAATATGAACAGAGATGGGATCAATACATTAGAAGAGCGTTGAAATCTGTTTGTTGAAGTTTTGGCAGAATATATTGAGATTGTATCTTTGAGTTATTTGATTCGAATTCATATATCTACTGTAGACTACGAATGTCAAAAAGTGGAGAAATACTAACTGTAAAGTTTGCTGATGATACTGAACTTTTATCAACAAACCATGACATCACAAAAGCAACTGCAAGCCTTCAAAATCATCTGAACGAAGTTACACATTTGTCTGTCATCTGGGGGATTTAGATAAACGCCGAAAAAACTGTCTCAAGTTATTTTCATCAACAGGAAATTTGAAGAACAGAAATTGAAAATTGTAATCTTTGTTATACCAAGAAAGCCAAATACTTGGGCATGCTTTTAGGCCAAAAGCTGACTTGGAAGGAGCACATAATATAGAAGAAAAAGAAAGCTAATCGAAGATTTGCAGATTTATTTTGGCTTAGTAAACAATTCCAGTCTGTCAATTGATAACAAACTACTAATTAACAAAACTGTTATTGTTCTGATTTGGAAATATGGATTTCAAATATGGGGTACCCCCTGTAAGACAAATATAAATACTATGCAGAGGCTGCAATCAAAAATCCCGTAAACAATAGTAGATGCTAGATGGTACATCACAAACGACGATATTCACAAAGACCAGAAAATCCCTACTATACATGAAAAAATTAAAAAAAGCAGTGCTAATCATATACTTAATTGCTGCAGCACACAAACTTGAAAATGACAAGACTCCCTGCCTTGGAACTAGAGTACAAAAAACATCTGAAATGTACACTTCCAACTCACTTAAGTATTAGGTATTAAATTAAGTTGAATTATTTTCTTTACAAAAAAAAAAAAATAATTTATGCATTGAAATTGTATGAAATGTATTGAAATTATCATTAACATGTTATCTTAAATGATGATTTAAGATGACTCAAATCTCCAAAGTTCATTTGTTAAAAGTGATACTAAATATTTATGATAGCTGTAATGGGAAGGCGATTTGAGAAGTCAGTGACTTTTTGATTAAAACAAATTTTTTTTGGCAAATAAACATTTCAGTTTTCTACATAATCACCTTTTAGCTCGATACATTTAGTCCAGCGTTTTTCTAATTTTGTTATTCCTTCCAAATAATAGGTTTTCTC